TCTCAGTCAGATGTTTCTCCTCCTCTGTTCAGGTCTTCTGCATGTGGAGCCATGATGCAGACATAGACACAGCTGAGGTTCTGGTTTGGGTCTTGAGTTTTCAGTATAGTTTTTATGAAGGACGAGTTTTTGGCTGTTCATCAGAGGAACAACTCGTCTGTTCTATCTGGATTAAATTCACTTATTCAGCTGCTGACCAGTGATGCCGTTGACATTTATTTCACACTGTGCTGATATTGTGCAGACGAATGTTCCCAGCTGTTGTGTCCTGGACCGAACAGCAGTCCTTTAAAGAAGACCAGTACCGGCCCAGCTCTGGTCCAGACGATGACACGGTCCTGCTAACCACAGTGTGCACCAGCAACACGCATAAATATTACTCATTAGATAAAAGACTGTTGCAGGCATGTTTAGCACAGTATAGATGAACACATCTACGTTTAACTGGACTGTTTAGACTTTGGTTGAACAATCACGTCTGTAGAAGCACAACATTAACTTTAGACACCTAGCTTAGCTTAGCTTAGCTTAGCACGAGGACAGGACTCAGACAGTGGTGTAAAACCAGATCTGCTTCCACAGAGCAGCGTTACGGAGAATGGTCTGACCGCACGTCCCTCTGCTACAGGGGACAGAGTGGTTATGGGCGGAGCTAAGCCCAGGATGCAGCGATGGTTGCCCGGCAACATGGTGACAGTGGAATTGTTCTGGTGGAACATTAGCCTGAAGAACCATCATTACACCATCAGGTAACCAACAGTAGCTGCACCAAGGACCGGATACAGTTGTGTTAGGCACAACAGTACCAGTCAGACTGGCAGCAGCTAGCCTAGCAGCTAGCCTAGCAGCTAGCCTAGCAGCTAGCAGCGGGTCCTACCTTCCACCAGCTCGTCCATGCTGCTGATCCTCCTGCTGCCGTCGATGCTGTAGATGGTTCTGACGCCTTGCGGCAGATGCAGGTTGTCGGCCAGCGATCGGGTCAGCTCCATCAGCAGGGCGTCGTACGAACGGAACCGGTCGCTGGAGACGGCGTACACCAGGCCTTTAAAGTACCGGTCCCCGTTGCGATAGAACCGGACCTTTTTGGCCCGTTTCTCTGAGGTGAGAGCCTGCAGGGTACGGGTCCGGTAGTAGCTGCAGTTGGCGCTGTGAGCCGGACTCGGAACCAGGCTGCTGCCCCTAGAGCTCGGACCCGACCCGCCGCCAGCGCTGCCGGTGGAGTCATCTCTCTTGGGCCGGGCCGAGCGGCCCCGGCGGACCTTGTCGCGTTCGTCGAAATGCTCCAACTCGAGGGTCTTACTGAGAGACATGATGGCTGCTAGAGGTGGACCGAGACGCTGCTACAGAACTTTCATTCTGCAGCCGCAGCAAACCGGGTTTTTATCCTGGTACAGAGGTCCAGTTGGTTCTGTTCAAGCCCTAAAACGTCTGGTTCGGAGATTCCCTCATAAACCGATGGGACGTTTTAGTCTTAAAGGGCAGCAGACTTTTTACAGTCCAACAGAACCAGGACCGGTGGATCCAGGACCCACCTCTACATCAGGGCAGCTTGTCGATCCACAAACAGAACCTCAGTGATGGTGTCCACGGTGCAGAACTGAACCTGAGATCCAGCTGAGGTTCTGGTCCGGGTTTCAGCCTCTCGGATTATCTGGTTCTGTCCCGGCAGCAACCTTCAGCACCCTGACTGGACTGAAACTGGGCCAGAATCACTAATCCTGCTGGTTCGGTCCTCAGCCTCCTCAGCATCCCTCCATCCCTGGAGCACATCACGTGGTCCGCTCAGGTCGTCTGCTGCAGGGTTTCTGCCGAACCGGTCGGTCCGGAGGCTTCCCCTGTGATGAAGAACAGAACTGGAGCGACGTGGTGCCGCTGCTCGTGCCCCGGTTCACCGAGAACAGGTTCTGCTGCAGAGCTGCTCGGTTCAACCGTCCGCCCAGACAGGCTCCGCTGCTCGGGGAGGCTCCTACCGGGATCCCGCCGAACCGGTCCGTGGCTCAGGAGCCGCTCTGTATGCTACGATCCGGAGGTTCCGGGCGGCCGAGCCGAGCCGAGCCGAGCCGCTCCGCTAACCGGGACAGAGGGAGGCGGCGGCGGCAGCTACACCGGCGGAGGACCGGGATGCACCGAGAGAAGCAGCATGGCCGCTGCTGCAGAGCCTCACCGGAGCGACTCCTCCTCCTGAACGTGCTGCTGCGTCCTCCTCCTCCTCCTCCTCCTCCTCCTCCTCCCTCTGCGGCTTTGTCTGCTCCGCTCCTCTATTGTCCGCCTCCTCCTCCCTCCCTCCTCCCTCCGCTCAGGCAGGACCTGAATGTTTAAACGTGTCACTGAAGTAAATCCTGTCTCCTGTGAACATGATGAAACCTGCTGATCAGTAATAAACCCACAGAAACGTTAACATCTGGCTACACGTCCATGTTCTCCTCAGTCGGGTTCTTCTGGTTCCGTCCACAGCTTCTGGTCCATCTCTGACTCCTCTGGACAGAACCGCTGCAGTTCAACTAAACNGTTCCTGTTTAGTTGTAGTTTAGTTACTGTTTGGTTCCTGTTTGGTTCCTGTGTAACTAACTCAGATGGTATCTAAAGTCAGACTAATCAGAAACACTTGGAGCCTGTTTGGTGGAGATGACGACATCTTCTGTCCTACTTTCATGCAGTCGTAGCTGCTGGACGGTTTAATTGATCGTTCCTATTCTGTATTGATTATGGAGCAGCTATTGTCTGCTGATGGACAGAACTGAATAATGCAGGATGGAGGTAAAACCCAGAGCGGACGTCTAGAAACAGCTGATCCGTCTGGTGTTCATCTGGTCTGCTGTTTAATAAGAAACTAAAATCTGATGGATGGAAACGGACGATCCGGTTCTGTGTAACATCACTTAATGTCACGTTGGTCTAATCTGTCGCCCCTCACAGTAATCAGATTACTTCTACAGTAGAGTACTGTCTCTGTATTAAATCAAGGCTCCACAGCAGGAACTCATTGAAACTCAGGGTTAAGCCCATACCATGATGCTGCCACCTCCGTGCTTCACTGTCAGGACCATG